ATAAAATTATTTTGGTTGCTACTTCATAACTGTAATGTTGCTACTGTTATGAATCGTATTGTAAATATCTGATATGCAAGATGGTCTTAGACGATCCCTGTGAAAGGGTTGTTCGACCGCCAAAGGGGTCGCGACCCACAGGTTGAGAACCACTGAACTAGAGGCTTGGTGCATGAATTTGTGCATGGGTGGGGTCTGGCCAGCCTGCCCCTATTGGGGCCAATCTGGTGGGCCGGCCTGGGGTTGGGAGGGGAGGTTGGCTGGCCAGCCCCACCCCTGATCGGGGTGGGGGTGGGCTGATTGGGGGTGATTGGGGGTAGGGCCGGCTGAGGGGAGGGGCCACTGGCAGTTGGCTGTCTGGCCTCACCCCTAGTCAAACTCCTGATTGAGAGGACAATTTGCATATTAGCCTTTTATTATATAGGATAGGATAAGCCACCCAGGGACCAGGCTGTGCTGCATTTATCAGGACAACTATGTCAGCACTTTAACCTTAAATAATCAAAGAGATGAAGGGTGATTAAGTATTTTCTGAAAACCTTGTTCCTTCAGGAATTTCAGTGTGAGTTTTTGGACATCTAGCAACCTATGAAAGTCACAGGGTAATTGAGGGGCAATCAGATGTCTGCTTATTCTTCCAAATCTCTGGGCCTGTTGATTTATTATCTTAGGTATCTACTGGTCTCCTATTATGTGTTAATTAGGATGTGAATTTTATGAAGATAAAAAGGTGACTTGGACCCAGTACCTGCTTTTATGTAGCTTGTGGTCCAGCAACAGAGATCAGACACAAGTAACTGCAGTACAAGGTGACTCGAGAAATAAGGCCTTTTAAGAGAGGTTTCAAAATGTAATGGGGTATTAGGGAAGAGAGGGTTAACTTCTGGCTGGCAGAGTCAGGTATTTGAGCTGTGAAGGATTTTTATAGGTAGAGATGGGGAAGAACTTTCCAGAAAGAAGAAATGGTCAAGCAAAATACATAAATAGACAGTGAGGGTGTTTAATTTAGCTAGAGCAATGATTCCCAAAGTGTGGTCTGGGATCTCTTAAGTCAGAACTGAAATGCTGTTCTTTCTTTTTCACTCTCATTCTTTCATGAGTGTTCAGTTGAGTTTTCTAGAGGCTACATGACCATGTAATGAGGTTATTAGTGTGATAGCTAACAAACTGTGTGTTTGTGTATTAAAATGTTTTGTTTTAATTTCAAATATAGTCAATATTAATAGATAAAACCCTATAAACAAAAGCTCTTCGGTGGTCCTCAATAATTTTTAAGACTGTTAATGGAGTTCTGAAACCAAAAACTGTGAAAACCACCAAGCTAGAGAAACAGTATATCCAGAAGGAATGAGAAATTTGGCTTTACAGCTTTGAGTGCCAAGCTGAGGAATTTGGATTTTATTTCCTATGTAGAGGGGTGCCATTAGTTTGGGTTTAGCTCAGTGGTTCTCAACCTTCCTAATGCCGCGACCCTTTAATACAGTTCCTCATGTTGTGGTGACCCCCAACCATAAAATTATTTTCGTTGCTACTTCATAACTGTAATTTTGCTACTGTTATGAATCGTCATGTAAATATCTGATATGCGGGATGTATTTTCATGGTTACAAATTGAACATAATTAAAGCATAGTGATTAATCACAAAAACAATATGTAATTATATATGTGTTTTCTGATGGTCTTAGGCGACCCCTGTGAAAGGGTCGTTCGACCCCCAAAGGGGTCGCAACTCACAGGTTGAGAACCGCTGGTTTACCTCCTCTGAACTGAAATAGCAGATATCACCCAGACATCAAAGTCAGGCTGGGAAATTATATCATGGGTACCAGTGACATCTTAGCTTCTAGGCACAGGCTTTTCATTTTAGGTCACCGAGTTCTGGTAGTTATTTGTTTCCAGTGATTGGAGAAGATCTGAACATGTTTGTTGGCTTTAGGATATTGAAGACTCTTTGCAAAAAGCTAACTGTAGGAGAGAAAGCTCTTTCGTTGGCATTCCTAGGAGTTGTGATATTTACTCGTCTACTATTTCTTTCTTTATTCAACACCAATTGGAAAAGTATTTTTTATTCCTCAAGATAGTTCTTGTGTTGTAGCTGTAGAGAATTTAATGTTTCATCAGTGCTATGTGGGGGTGAGGGGTATGTGCTAGTCATAGTAATTGGCTCTCCTGATTTCATGTATTAGCAGTTAAAATGTCACATATATATGACTTGCCAGTCCACTGTATTGCTTGGGGAGCAAATGGTGCCAACAGATCTGTAGTAAGTAGGCACAGGGGATGCATGTTCCAAAAGAACCTCATCAGGGACTTCCCAGAGACAAAGCTTAACATTTTGTTTTGACTCTGATTTAAAGAAGTCTTGTAGTTAAGCTGGAGGTTAGGGTGGGAAGTAAACTTGGCAGGATTATAAAATGGAATCATTAAAAATGAAATGATCTAATTCAGCTCTTCTAGTTCAAGACTCTCCTTTGCAGGATTCCTAAAAAGTCATCTCATCTCTTTTCATACTCTCACTCCTCGGCATAGTGAAGGGTCAGATTGGCTTTCTAACTTAGCAGGATCATTTTCTAGGCAAAATACTTAAGAAGGATAAATGTTGGTTACCCTGGAGGGTGCTCCTTGCCAAAGGGCCTCTGCTTTCTAAGCCGCCATTTATAGGATAACACAACAGGGTGCAGTGATGTTCAGGACTAAACTCCAGAGCCCTTTGGGGTGGAAGAAGCTTCTGGGTGTTCCAGGGCAGTCAGCTCTCCCAGATCTTGCTTCCATTCACCCGATTCCTATAGTACTAATTTATTAGTAATTAGTAAGTATTATTTATTTAAGATGGCATAAATGCCCTGAATACTGTTCTCATAATTTCACTTTTCTTTTTTTCTCCAGTCTGTGTACCTCTCGCTACCCCTTCCTCTCACATTCTGTATTTCAGGACTCAAAGACATGCTATGCCGTTGTTTTATGTGCCCCTGTGAAAGGAAAACACAGTAAATGTGGGGAGAAAGTATGTCTTAGAATTGAAACACCATTTCTGCTACTGTAAACAGTGATATCATTGAGGATTCAGGTTTTCAACCAAAGAGATGTATTTTATTTTTATTTCTTTTAAAATATATTTTTATTGATTATAGAGAGAGAGGAAGGAAGATATGAAGAGAGAGACACATCAATCGGTTGCCTCCTGCTCTCCCCCTACTGGGCATGGAGCCTGAAACATGGACATGTGCCCTGACCAGGAATTGAAGCAGTGACCTCTTGATACATGGGATGACACTCAATCTACTGAGCCATGCCTGCTGGGCAAGATGTATTTTATTATTGTCTTCTCTTCTTCATCCTTAAATTGTATTCTCTCTTCAGTGGTAGAATGGTTTAAAGCAGCGGTGCCCAACCAGTGGTCCGCGGACCACTGGTGGTCTGTGAGGTCCGAAAGGTTGGTGACCGCGGGTTTTAAGTGTGGGGATTATAGGCCTAGTCTAGGTAGGAAACATTTCACAGTTGGTTTTCCTGGGTGGGAAAGGTAGCAAGCCAGTTTGACAGGGCCTCTGCTGTATCTCTTCTCCAGGCTGTTGGAGGAAACGCTTCCGCAAGCCAGTTGCTGGGATAAAGTGACTGCACATGACTATACCTGGAGCCAGCTGGTTTTAATAACAATGAATTGAATTAAGTCAATTGTAAAAGATTGGTAGCTGCTGTCCTTATTCTGCAGATCTGCTTTAAAGAGTCTGGCAGGGAGCCAGAGACCTGTTCTCAGAGAGCAAGATGCTGCCTGAGAAGAGCAATGTGCATTTCTTGCTGAGACCATTTCCTTAGGAACATGTTCCATGTCGGGAGCCTGATTGACTGCCAAGGCACGTTTGAATTGGGAAACAGTGTGGCGGACATGGCAGACTGGGGGGCCCATGGCCCATGTTTAGCAGATGTCTTTTTAACTGGCCCATGTTGTACAAAAAAGGGAAAACTGTTTTAGCTAAAATTTAACAGGAGATTTTGTGCAAAAGTCCAGATTTCTGACTACTCTTTTGTTGTTGTTGTTTGTTTTAATAACCATTTCTTTACTTATTTTTTGTTTTTGTTTGTTTTTTATTTTATTTTATTAAAGTATTACATGTGTCCTTATCCCCCCAACCCCCCCCCCCAACTACTCTTAATAAATAGTCAGATCCACCAATACTGAGCCCACATTCTAGCTTGGATTCACAGTGGATACATACGCACTTTTACCTGCCTGGAGCCCAGAAGGTCCTGCAGTATAGCATAGTGGTTTGAAGCATTTGGAGCTGACAGACCTTCACTGGAGTCTTAGTGCTATCACTCATAGCTGTGTGCCCGACAGCCCAGTGTTCTCGTGTATATATAGTAATGCCTAACTTCCCAGGTGCTGGTGCTCTTTTGAGTTATAGTTTTGAGACAGGTGGTTCAGGTCATTGGGAAGTATTGCATCAAAAAGAGTGCTCAATAAAATATGTGTATCACATATGATCAGATGAACTTATGATTATATAATTAGCAATTTTTGTCAATTGTTAAGAGAGTCACAGAAATTCTTACAAAAAAGGGTGTGAGAAGAATAGATGAGAAGATAAGGTGATGTGGATTAGGATGACATGGAGGTGCTGAACACCAAGATAAATATTGGCACTACAGGATAATCTCTAGTATGCCTAATTTCCCCCTCATGTGTTGATTCTAATCTCCTATTTGTTACCTGGAAGTACTGCAGATAGAAATAAGATCATGTCTCTGAAGCATTTGTTCATTTCTCACTGAAGAGCAGTTCTACACAATACAGTGACCATATCCAGTGTAGGAGCTCTGTAGCTCTTCACTTATTTATGTCTCTAGGTACTTAGCTTGCAGGAAGGGTGTGATCCCAGGTAGCAGGTGTTAGCTGGCTGCAAAGGGGGATGTTATTTATCTTACCCCCCATTTTCCTTAATGAATGACCTCTGAGTTGGTAATTGACAGGGATTATTGCCATTTTTTTAATCTCTGCTAGGAGGCTGCTGGAGTCTTCCCTCATTTCATTATCCCGTTATGATGGAGCAGGATCCAGAGAGCACCCAATTTACCCAGACCCAGCGAGGTAAGGCTGAAGTGAGAAATGGCACTAGGTGGGGGGGAGGGGCTGCCCTTGGGGTTGCCAATTGCTGGAAGCCCCATTTTGTGCCTCTCTGGTCCTGGTGCTCTTTTACTCTTGAGTTACAGTTTTGAGACAGGTGGTTCAGGTGATTGGGAAGTATTGCAGGTAAGTGAACAGAACCTCTGGTGACAGAGTTGTGACTGAGCTCTTATCCTTTGGGGCTCATTTCTGTGAATGTGGCACTAGAGGAGGGACCTGGGGAGGCCACTGGCAGAGTCATAGGATAGGATATATTTTTTTCTTCGATCAGTGAGACTGTTGCCATTCAGATGGACAGGCAAAAGGGAAATAAAAGTATTTATTAATAGGGAAATTACCTATAAATTCAAACAGATAAAAAATCCTTCTTGCTCTCATTTGAGAGAGAGTTTAGAATATCAGAAAGCAGAAATCAAGCTCATTTAGTTGTTGAATTTTTTGAGACTATCTGAAGGAAGAGATGACTGACAAATGGAACTAAATATAACAAGTTGGAACTTCATTAAATGCTTGACTTAATACTGATTAGAAGACATTTGAAAAATTCTTGAAGAAATAAAAAAAAATTCAAATGAGTTGAAGATCCGCCTTAACCTGATACTGGTAACTGAGTACCAAGTTTGGAGTGTTTGAGTTGATGAACATTTATAGTGAAAAGCCCTTTGGGGTTGTCACAGCTGGACTTACTGATTGTTAATGATCTAAAGAAGGGATAAGCTGCACTTAGGCAGTGCCAGAGCACATTGTGAGGCTCTGCCCAAAGAAAAGAGTGTTTATAATGTTGGGGTTGGCAAGTTAATACAGGTCACATAAAGCTAAATGAGCTTTGCTCTGGTTTAAGAATTTCAAGTCTGAAAAACCTTTAGACCAAGTTGATTCCAGGGATATTGATTGATCTTGTTGGCACAGCTATGTCATGATGCTGAGCATTCTTTCTGAGATATTAGTGAAAAGGTTCCCCATTATCCTCTTCCTTTGGATTGGCGAATCCAAGGATCAGGGAACATGGGGATTGACGACTTGAAAACAGGTAGACAGCTTGGATGATGATTGAAGTAAGGACATTTATTTTAGTCCGTATAATCGAAAATAACAAGCCCTAAATAAGAAAAGGAATATTTTCACATGAATCAAATACTCTGAAACACTGAGATAGAGAACTTTTTGTAGTTCTCTTAGGATTGCAATGGAAATCTCATTCTCAGAATTTTTAACCTGACAGAGTTTACCAGTAATTCTTAAAGACCATAACTTGTCCTCCTTTTATGTTATTTGTTCCTACTCAGAGCTCTTTATCACAGAAAGTATCATACTTTATACTGTTGATGTTTTCACATTTTCCCTTTGAACACAAAAATTTAAAATTTTTACTTGGAACACTTCAGAGTTTGATGGTTATCCAGCTCTTCAGTGGGAGGAGATTGTTACCTCATTATTGGTGGTTTCATTTATTTTTTCTCTTAGGTTCACCACCCTGTGCACAGTATGTATAGGCCAGAGCCTTTGTGAGACATCTCAGCATTCAGATCCTTAGCTGCCCTCTGGATATCCAAAAGGATAAGGATAGGGATGTATTTGTAGTTAATAATTGTGCCAAGAATCCTTTTTAAAAGATCATTGATGCCTAGTTTTATAGCTTAGGGAATTTCTGTCCTATCCTATATAATAAAAGGCTAATATGCAAATCGACTGAATGACCAGTTGCTATGATGCACACCGACCACCAGGGGGCAGATGCTCGCCACAGGAGCTGCCTCCTGATGGTCAGTGTGCTCCCACAGGAGGAGCGTTGCTCAGCCAGAATCCGGGCTCACGGCTGGTGAGCGCAGCAGTGGCGGGAGCCTTTCTTGCCTCCACGGCAGCATTAAGGATGTCTGACTGCCGGCGGGGAGTGGGCCTAAGCCGGCAGTTAGACATCCCCTGAGGGCTCCCAAACTGCGAGAGGGTGCAGGCTGGGTTTAGGGCTCTCTCCCCACCCCCACCCCCCGCCCCCCTCAATGCACGAGTATTGTGCACCAGCCTCTAGTAGTGAAATAAATAGTTGGGGTTACCTAGTGCTGAGATTGTGCGCCTGCACATGAAATAACAATCTTATTGTCAGCTTCAACATTATTTCTGCCACTATCACCAATAATATTTGCAAGATTTTCCCATTAGGGTTGGTTATAAACTCAGGAATGAGTGTACGTGTGGTCACTTTTCAGAATCAGTTCCAAAAACAATCTTTATTCTCCTCTTGAAACTTTTTTTACTTTCTTTTCTAGACTGATTGACTTGAGAATTTAGGCAATAGTAGTTGATTTCTGCTGGAAGGTGTTTTTTTTTAATGTATTTGGTAGATATAGGAACAACTCAATAGTATTGACTTCTATTTGTTGAAAATAGAGGATTCTTGATTGATTTTTGCAAAATGCGTGGAAACAGGCCCAAACGAATAATGAAAGTTCTACAAGTTAAGACTTTTAAGAAATGGTTCTTGTACTCTCATGACCTTGGCCAAAGCATCTGTGCATCCCATGCCCACCCATTGTATAAAGATAGCTATGTAAAGATAATTTGGACTCAGGTGCCAAATGCAGCATCTTGTTTCATAACAGACATTTGAGTTCCAAAGATTGTCAGCTGGCCTGCTTGGGAATCCATTTGATGGTTGGCCACAGGACCACCACCTCTGATGACAGTTATTTGAGAAGTAGCCTCACTTCCTACAGCAGTTGACTCCAGGATCTCCTTTGGCCTGAGTCAGTAGATTTATTGAAGATTTGCCCAGAGACTTTGCCAGGGGTAATGAAAGATCAGGCAGCAAGATGTTTGTAAACACTTTTCCTACCATTTGGATATAACTCTTTAATTTCCATTCTCAATCAATTTTTCCAGATTTCCATTTAAAAAAAAAAGAGAGAGAGACATGCTTTTTTCTTTTTATATTTAAACATTATATAAGTTCAGGTCCTCAGTAATCCTCATTAGGATTGCTGTGTTCCCTTTTAATTTTTAAATTAAATACAGAAATATATTGTTTATATACATATTAGTATATACGTACCATTCTTCCATTCCCCCCCCCCCATTTAAAATTATATTTTAGAGGGCTTTCATGTGTGCAGATAGGGATAATTTGTTCTTTTTAATAGCTGTATAGTGTTTCTTTGTATGGATATAGTTTGTTTAATCTGTTAATGGGCATTTGGGGTGTTTCCCAGGTTTTCATTAATTCTAATCTCTCTGTATCTTTGTATCCTTGTGTGTTTCTGTAGGATAAAATTTCTAGTGGAATTGTTGAGTCGGTGTGTACCTCAGGCAGGTTTTAAGTTTGGAAATTTCTTAGTAATCCTATTAATACTATCATATAAAAAAAACATTCTTCTACTGTTTGTCTCTCACACTCTCAGTTAATAGCCTCAAATTATGTAACGATGTGAAAGATGGAGGGAAAACTTGACAAAGAAGGGAATGTGGCAAGTTGTATGGGACACTTGACGTTTTCATGGAATATGAAGATACTAAGCAGCTAGAAGAACGTAGGTCTAGACTGTTTCCTGAGAATAGTCTAGTAAGGGAGAAGAAAAACAATGACTGTTGCCTTCTGTAATGCTCAGTCCCCATGTAGCCTCTGATGCTCTCTTGTAAGACAGTAAAATTTGTTTTTATCCTTTTAGGTTTTTCCAAGTATATTTTACTCTCAGTTTATATCTTTTATTACAAATATCTATGAATAAATTGTTAAAGGAGAGATAAGAAGCTCAAAGAGATTTTAAGGAGCTAGAACAAATCTGGAGCGTGTCTGTTTGTTGGAGAAAAAAGGGGTCCTCGTGAAAATGCCTGTACATGCCTTCGTTAGTGATCTCAGGTTTCCTGTCTCCTGGCCGCTTCCTCATCTAAAACGGAAAGAAGAGATGACTTGTTGATGATTGCTGTGATCCCTTTATATCTTATATTTTAGGTATGGGTGATTGAGGGAAGGCTGTGAGTCTTAAAGGGGGTCGGTCCCTTAAGAAACTAAAAAGAAAAGTCCAGTGTTACTCTCTTGGGAGGGGACAGCTGTTGATCAGATAAGGACTGATTAAACAGTCTCTTTGCCTTATCTCAGAACAGAAACACTGGTGGTAAGCCGATAAGCATATTGTGCAGTACAAACCTCCTGGTGAGTTAAATGCCCTTTATTTTTTATGTCTCCGGATTCGCCTCAGCAGGGAGAAGCCAGGGGAGAACTGGATTTACTGTCTTTCACAGTTTCCCCCACATTAGTGCTAGTTTGTATTTGTCCATCTCTGTCTCTCTCAGATTATCTCCTGCTGCATACTACGCTCAGAGGATGATCCAGTATCTTTCACGGAGAGACAGTATTCGCCAGCGCTCCATGCGCTACCAACAGAACCGGCTTCGCTCTTCCACCTCCTCCTCTTCCTCAGACAACCAGGGTCCATCAGTAGAGGGAACCGACTTGGAATTTGAGGACTTTGAGTAAGTACATACTCAGCTTGCTTTCTTCCCCCTGCTCCCAAGCTGGGAGTGCTTCCAAGTTGGTCACTGTCGGAGCAGCAGTGGTTGACATTCTAGCTTCAAACCTTTAAAGTACTATTTATGAGTAATAGGATGGGGTGAGGGACGGGAGGGTTAAAATGCCCTGGGCACGCCCACCTTTGGCAGTTGGCTGATTCACCGGGATCTGTGGGAAGAGGCAGTCCATTGGGCCCCGGGCCAGACTGGGAGAAGATGGCTGCTGTACTTACTCCCTTTTGTGTGACCAGTGCCTGTGGAATGCATCGCGTGGACTGTGTTCACAACAGGGAGCAGGAGGCTTGGTGTTTCTTTCACTTAAGCAGAGCAGGTATTGAGAGATTAAAAAGAAAATACTCAGATTTTCTAAAAGTTGGGTTTTCTTAGAACCCTTGATCACACTGGTACTTTGAGGTTTTACTCCTTTACCTAAACTTTCTCACTCTTCCTCCATCCCCAGTAAGGATCCTTTGAAAGTTGCCTGTCAGGTTAATGTGGTGGGTTGCCAGGTGATTCCTTCCTCTTCTGGTCTTTTTAGTTGGTAGTTGGGGGACTGGGTGAGCTAAAGGAGCAGGGTCAGCCCAGGCTCCAGAATTCAAGCTCCCCAATTTGACTTCTGGGTTTTGCCTTCCCTGACCTGGTGCTCCTGGCCTTTCTAGCCATTCATTGTTTCCATTCTGAAACAGCTTTTCTGGCTTGTATCGGATTGGACACTGACTTTTGTTTTGATTCCTATTTTTTGGTATTCTCAAACATGTAAAACGAGAGAGAAAAGGGTGTTTAAGTATTTTTTTTCCTCCTCTTTTACTGGCAGTATTGGACTAGGACAGCCTGTCAGTCATTTTTCTTTTTTCTTCTCTATCCTGACATAGCCTGGTCAGGTCTGGGATCTTAAGAGTTCTTGTCTCCCCTCAACCTTCTGTTCCGTGAGCTGAATGAATAGTCCCCAGGCGCCATCTTACAACAGAGCTTTAGGATGTGTTTGAGCGATATCTTTGCCAGAAAGAACTGAAAAGGTGGGAATACCCTTTGTACCAGTTCACCTTCCTGATGTGATCCTTAAAAGCACACTAGCAATTGTGTACTTGGAAGCAGAAGGAAGACTAACTGGGAGATTCATTTGCCTGAGGAAGATGTAAATGTGGAAGAAAGGCAGGGATGCTGTGAGCACTGTGGTGTGGCAAGCGAAGCAGGCGCGGTGGCCTCTGTCATCGACTGAGAAGAGCCCAGCTACCCTCTGACTCTCAGCACATGTCATTCTTCCTTCCATCCACTCTAGGTGATGGTGGATACACATAGCAGCAGTGAAGGGAAAATGTCTCCATTCCCTCAACCAGGCAGACACCTGTAGTGCAATATGTTCCCCTGTAAATGAGATTATTTTTCCAGCATTGGGTCTATTCAGGGAAGCAATTACAATGTATCCACCGAGGTTACTGGGACTTAGCGCTGCTCAGAAGCCTCAGTAATCCTGTGTGGCTCTGGGAGTCGGTGCAGATTGCCTAGCCCCCTCTCCATGCACGCTTGGAAGGCTGTGTTATCCTCTGCAGTGGTGGGGCGTGGGGCTCATGCCTTTGAGCTGAGTCTTGCCTCGTGACTTGTCCTTCACAATGGAGTTCTGGGTTAGTTTAAAATGTTCTGTTCTCATCTTACCTTCTCTTTCTTCTGCTACCACCTCCTCCCTTTCTCCTTCCTTCCCCCTCGATTTTCCTCTGTCAGACTGCCTCCTCCTCGTGCTCCCCACAGCCCACCTGTGCTCTCACCTCCCCTTGGCTTCAGCGCGACCTGAATTTACATCGCCTCTTCACCTTCCGTGCCCCGACTGACTTAAACTGTTCTTTCCTAGGGGTCTTGTGGTGCTCCCTGGTTACTAACAGTGGGCTGATTTCTCTAATGCCCCGCTAAAAGTCCCTCCCCTTGGTGTTTGCCTTTCTTTTTGGACTGATACAGACTGTAATCTTGTTTTTAATAGCAGCTATGGATTGGTCACCTCAATGGTAGTAGTCTAGGTGTTCTGGTGAAGGGTGTTGCTGGTTGGTCACTGCTCGTTTACGTCTGTTCAGTAGGCATCCATCCTTGCCCTCTTCCCCACGCTGTAAACTGAGTGCTGCTTGAGGTTGCTCTTCTTCGCTAAATATCAAAGTTCTCTGAGGAGAGTAAGAAATTGGGGAATATGCTAGCGTATTTTAATTTCTCGGCCCCCATCCTTTCCTTTAGTTTTAATAACTAGAAGGAAAATTAGAGGCGTGTATGGCCATATTTGGGGGGGGGGGTGGTAAGTTAGACATGGCTTGAAATCCTGCTAACACACTTAGGTTACCATGAAAAGAAACTGTTCTAGTGAATCTCCTCACCTTCACAGCATATCCTGCTTTTGCCTTTGCCACCCTACTTTGACCTCTTCAGTTTGCTTCCATTTGCTAAGGCTTAGATCATTTTGTCATTCTCTAGCTTGTCCCATCCAGGTTTACAGAGTCCCCAGAAAATGAAGGGGAGCCATTATTCAGATCCATCATTTTGATTCTCTTTCATCATCCATTGAATGAAAGGTATCAGCTATAATTTTCATATGTATACTTACTTAGAACATATAAAACATTTGTAATATATATAAATATATTAATATATATCTTTAAAATTTTGTTTAATCCTTATAATAATCCAATGAGATATTTACTTTTTGTTTTGTTTTTTTTGTTTATTGATTTTCAAGAGAAAGGGAGAGGGAGAGAAACATCAGTGATGAGAGAGAATCATTGATCAGCTGCCTCCTGTATGCCCCCTACCGGGGATCAAGCCTGTAACCCGGGCATGTGCCCCTGGCCAGAACTCTATTCACTGAGCCAAACCGACTGGGATGAAATATTTACTTCTTTGTGGTATTCTAAGTGATGACACTTCACCAAAATCAGACATGCCTAAGATTAGAGAATAGGAAAGTCATATTCACTAGTAGTATCTTGACTATTACTGTCCTGCAGGTTGAAAGCCCTTTAAAAGTGATGTATAGCCAGTCCTAGCTGGTTTGGCTCAGTTGCTAGAGCTTCGGCCTGCGGACTGGGGGGTCCTGACTTCAATTTCAGTCAGGGGCACATGTGGGTTGTGGGCTAGATCCCCAGTGGTGGCGTGCAGGAGGCAGCCTATCAATGATTCTCTCTCATCATGATGTTTCTGTCTCTCCCTCTCCCGTCCTCTCTGAAATCAATAAAAATATTTAAAAAAATAAAGAAACAAATAAAAGTGATGTACAGCCATAATCAGGCCCTTGTTCCATGAGCTTGCTGTGGAACAAGGCTGTCTAGATTTATCTCTAGGGAAGATAGCTTTAAAGGTTGGTCAGCATCAGGTTAAATTTCTATTCCTGTATGGCCTGGATTAATGACCATCTTCCCAGGCAGGCATTTTCTCCTGCCATTCATCTCTGTCTGGGGGAAGGATTGAGACTGCAGGTTCCCTTTGTTTGTCAAAATGCACAAACAGGACATCCAGAAATCTGCTGTCAGCAGGTCTGTCCTGAAGCCCTCAGCATCCATCTTTGCATAAAGATGTTCACAGGGTAAAGGTGTGTGTGCCTGTGACATTGCTGTCTGCCTGCTAGAATGTAGATGGCAAAAAAGCATACGGCAAATTCCCATTTTCACTTTTACTATTCCTTTGGAAAGAGGGAGGCTTTTGTGAAGCCCAGGTTAAGCGCTATGTCCCAGTAGTTGCTAAAGTCCATAAAAGAGCTAGTGTACGGTATATGACTGTATGTGACTGTATGACTATTGCTTCGGCTATCCTTGCCCCTTCCACGTCTTACCTGTTACTCTAAATGTACTTAATGATCCCAGAATCATCCCTAGCTCATGTCCTTCCTTTCTGACTCTTTGTAACTGCTTCACCTTCTAAGGCAAAAGAGATACCTGAGCTCATGACTGAACTACAGAACCTTCAGATTAGATTAGTCACATATATTTCCACCACACATACCAGCCACTAGGTAATTGCACTCAACCTTTTTTATTTTAATTTTTTATTTACAGTTGACATTCTCAACTTCTTAATTGTTGCTAGCACAGAAAAGAACAAATGCTACATCCACAGTTGTGACACTAGGCCAGTGATGGCGAACCTTTTGAGCTCGGCGTGTCAGCATTTTGAAAAACCCTAACTTAACTCTGGTGCCGTGTCACATAGAGAAATTTTTTGATATTTGCAACCATAGTAAAACAAAGACTTATACTTTTGATATTTATTTTATATATTTAAATGCCATTTAACAAAGAAAAATCAACCAAAAAAATGAGTACGCGTGTCATAGGTTCGCCGTCACTACACTAGGCTGTACACTGGAAAAACATCTCAGTGAGAATTCTAGTCTTTCAGCCTCATAATGAAATCTTTTTAGGTCTATTACATTTATTTTCTTAATTCTTCTAATTATCTGGCTCCCTTTACCCAGAAATTCATATTGTGATCTAATGTGCAAAAACGTTTTGTTTGAGAATGACAGTCATTTCTGGGCCCAAGATGGGTTCCTGTTTCTCAGTTTGACATGCTGCAGTACAACATACACATGTATAGGGGAGCATCCTCCAGCCAGGGCTTCTCCTTTTATGGTCCCCTTGCTAGACACCTTCTGGCAAAGAAGTCATTAAAAGGTCTTCTTGGTATATGATGTAGTTGAGGGGAGTTCTGAAGGCTGTCACTCAGCTCTGCCTTCCGGTTGGGTGTGGCATAGGGGAAGTTGCTTGTCTTTAGTTTGGAATGTTATATTCTCCATCTGCCCTTTTGGCATAACAGAAATTTAGTTGAGCCATGACAAAGAAAATACGTTAGAAATCAGGTCATACTACTCCTATCATCTGTCATCGAAATCTGACAGCTTTGTGAGACTCATACTTCAAGATCCTGTGGCTGGGAATTCCAGTAGAGCAAAGCCAGATATGTCCTTGGTAGTACTTGCTCCTGCTCTTTCTTCT